ATCAATACCTTTTTTCGTTCGGTTTTAGCACAGAAATTTTACTTATTTTTACAGTATTTTAGTTTAATTTTTTTTTTTTTCGTATTTACTTTCAATTTAACTAAAAAAAAGAGTTTGAGAAATTTCAAATTTTCCTTAAAAACAAATATAAACAAAAGCAACTTATGGTCTGAAAGCGTCGACTTAAGATTAATCTAACTTACTTGATTAAGGCCTTGGGACGACATTGACCTTTAGGTATTAATTTTAACTGGATACAGTTCCTGAGAAAAAAAAACTGTTTATAAGACTGGGAAAAAGGTGGCCAACATAGTGATCCTATAAACGACATCAGCTTTTTCCTTTCGATAACCGAAACTAAAAATGTATGCAGAAGAACAATAATCTACTAACACACATTGCTTGCAGGTGAGGATGATTATCCGAGGCAAAATCTTAAAGTTCGAGGCCACGTTCGGTTAAGATCCAAGATTATATTCAATTTTGGTCATCGAATCAAAGCGCTTACAGTCTCGGCAAACGAAGGCTTCGTTAGGGCTGCTCTTCAACAGGTATTTAATTTAATTAGTTAGCAGCAAAATTGTGACGTTTAATTAGAAAGTCGTTGTGGCCTAAAAGATAAGATGCCCTGTGTATTCGCATCGAAAAATGCAAGGTTGTTCGAATCCCGCAAGCAGGTAACAAAATTTCTAACTAAATACGTACGTGACAGATGTTCACGATTGACTTCCACAGTGAAGGAATAAAATAGTGAAATAAAAATCAAACCCACAAAATTATAATTTGCGTAATTACTACTAATAGGTATAATAACCGGCAAACTTCTTGAGCATTTGTTGACGTAGTGGGGGTAAGTTTGCGCATGGTACACTCACGTGCAAAAACATTACTTACTCTGTGTCATAATGCTATTAAATTATTCAAATCAACATATGTATTTATTTATATAATTATTAGAACATCAACAAAACATATAGGTTAATAATTGTAATAATTTAATCTTGGGGTAAAATAGATATTCCTTCTATTAAGTCAAAACTAGAGCTGTTGCCAGGCCTTGGTTCAGTTAAAGCGAAGCTGGTATTTGTAATTTTTTTTTCGTTATCATAATCTTGACCATCATCATCATCACTGTTTTCATCACCCGAGTCGCTATCATCGTGAGGAGTCGACATAGGGCTCATCGGTGTAGTTTACAACTCGGTCGATTCGGTCTTCTATTTTGTCTATAATTAATTATTTTTTGAAGATATTCGATTCGTAGGAATCGAATGTTACTTTTTTCATTTACCAGCTTCCGATTATTTTCTGTTCTTTTTTTCCATCTGAAGCCTAGCTCTTTCATAATTCGTCGTAAGCTTCATTCCGAGCCATTAAAATTTATATCTTCTTTAAATTTTTCGAAGCCTTTCTACGGTACGGAGTTTCGCTGCTTGTTATGTAGTTATTATGATTACATCTTTTTATNCACATGATATCCCTATCGTGCGCTCACTCACTCTGGCCGATTCGATACGAACCAAACGAATATTGCTGATATTCACGAATCGGTACGATATGCCGATGCGCATCACATCGAGCAATATCGTGTATCGGCTGATATCGTTATATAGATTTCGTGCGGGGCGATATCGGATTCAACGATATTGCTGCGATATATAGATATTGAATCTATATACGATTTACGAAGGCGAGTGGCGACATTTACGTTATAGATGTCTATCTGCTTCGGTAACCACTTAACACCAACTGGACCCTAGGCTCGCTTATCCATCAAAGCACTTACAAAAATAACAATATAATTTTGCTTGTTTGTTACAGGGCGTAACATATGCGGCTTTTGTTCACGAGTCAAGAGCTCTCACTGAAGGGAAGGAAGACTCTGCAAGAAGGATAACTTTATGATACTTTAACGTATTTATTATGTGCAGTTAAATTTTTGTATGTTTGAAACAGATTTTCTGTGATAAATGAACTGTGATTAAAAAATTGAAAATCATAAGATGTGGTTGAAATTAGATAAAGTTAAAACTGCAAATTTTTGCGCTTCTTATTTGTTCGTATATATTACCTTTAAATTACATTTTCAATTTTAATTAATATTCTTGCTAACTTTAAAATTCAAGAATAAAATAGGAAAAACTTAAAAAATTTCTTTCAGGTTTTTTTTCCAAATATTATTAAGTCCTATTACTTATAAAATGACTTCGAGTCGTTTGTGACCACGAAAACTGTAATGATCTTTAAACATGCAGAATTGTAACTTTATAAATGTGGTGGGAGTATCCCCAAAGGTTTGAGGAGTAGGAGAAGCGACAATTCGCAGATCATCACCTCATTTGCCTAAATACCTATTACATATACAGGGATACCCAGAAAGGGTCAAACCGAAACATGGCTATATTAACAACAATGAGAGTTAGCAATTAGTAGTTTTATAAAAAAATATTGACTGTTTCAACTGTTCGATCACAGCCTTGTATACATCAAATATCATTAGACCATTTATTCAGTTGAACTCGACTGAACGCAAATGTAACCTTAAATTAATAGGTACTCGTACTGATTACGGTGAATGTTGCTAAATTCCACCTTTATTGCAAATGATGAGATGTTTCAGATTGTCCATCATATGCCAAATAGAGTTTATCCAAAACGATGTCACAGGGACAGTGCCTATTCGAGGGTGAAAAATGTATTTGCGATTATGTATTACACACTCAATTCGTACAACCAGTATTAATACAGTGGATTTTATTAATAACGATCTCGGTTATAACGACTTTTTGGTTATAGCGATGTCAAACTTACGTCCCTTGAATTTAAAGCATACTTTTCTTAAAGGCTTATTACACTTGGCTAAATTTAGTCGACTGAATTCAGAAGCAACTTTAGAAGCTTCTGATTAGTTTAAGCGCGTCGAAATTGGACGTGTCGTGTGTGTACGAGGATGGCCCCAATAGTGTCTAGACAACAAAAAATTGGTCTTGGCGTAGACGCCGCTGTCGGCTCAATTGAAAAAAAAAAGAAGAATATGGGTGAAGAAGTATTTATTGCTCCGCGGAAAAATAGCAAATATGAACATTATGAGTGATTTAGAACCAGCAGACTTGCAGACTTCAGAAATTATCTAGAAATGGATTTGAGCTCGTTTGACCTAATATTAAACCTTGTGACACTGTTTATTCAAAAGCACGATACTATCCTACGATAGTCTATTATATATCTATTATATAACTATTACATGTCTAATCCTACGATAGTATAAGTCCAAAAGAAAGATTGGTTGTAACATTAAGATTTCTTGCAACAGGAAATTCGTATCAAGATTAAAATTTAGTTCTTCAATATCCTAACCCCTGATGACAAAAATTATCCCTGGAACTTGTCGGGCTATTTATAAATGTCTGTCACATTAAATAAAGGTGACAGAAATAAATACTTTTTATTCGGAAGTAAAAAACAAACTAAAACGTCCTTACGCACGGAGAGCTATGGGACGACTGAAATCATTAAGTAACTAAATGCGATTACACCTTCCTAAATGCGTTTCTAATTAGGCTTCTAAATGATTAAGTCAATCAGAAACCATCCTTGCTACTGAATTCAGTAGTGACTGAATTCAGTCGACTAAATTTAGCCAAGTGCATTATACCTTTAAGAAATTCATTCGGTAATAGCAACTTTTGGATATAGCGTCCGTTTTGGGTATAGCGACTTGTTTTTATGACCCATTTATGACAGATTCCCAGAAATCCCTTGCGGATATTGCTATTGAGTCGACAAAGGCATAAAGACTCATTCATAAAACTATTATGCTTTCTTATCCTTTGTTTACATTCACAGATGGTCAAACAAATGCTTTGTTTGTATGTAGGAACATAGAAACAAAACATTTGCTTGACCATCTGTGCTAAGTAGTCCTCTACTCAGCACGGGAAACTTATGTGAATATTAATGATCAAGTTATCACTACTGATAACTTGACTGATAATGAAATTATTGTGTCTGCTTCAAACACAAGAAAAGGAGGATGAAGAAGAGGAAGAAGATTGCAATCTAATTGAAATTCCAACAACTAGAGATGCATTATGTGCTATAACAACGCTCAGAAAGTACTGTTTATTTGGTGAAGGTTAAAATAATTTAGATGTAGAAGGAATTATGAAAATAGAATACACCTTACAGTGTGCAGAAAAAACTAAACTTAAACATTGCACCATAACACGTATACCATAATTAAATAAATGATAAGTAAATACTTAAGTACATGACTTTTTATTATTTCGGATATAGCGACCTCCGGATATAACGACGACATTAAATGCCATGCCCCCTCCGCAGTCGTTATAACCGAAGTTCACTGTACTTTTATTTCCGACATAAATTCGCTTAGTTGTGTAAAACATAATTCAAGGGTTATTAATTTGGATAGGGATAAATTTGCTTTTAGGTTGAAGAATGAAGAAAGCCATAATATTACACACCGCCAAAGAAGTGAAGAAGTTTCACTTCTTTCACGTGCACCAAGTTGCACGCGCACTTGTTTTTCTGTCAAATCGACTATTGTAATAGGACAATATCTACAGTTTTCGACTTGATATTATACCATTTGTAGGAAGCCTTGTATTAGTAGATCATTTTATAATTACTCGATTTTACTGATATGTTTTAATACTGAAACCTCTTGGTTCTTTTGCTGCTTGCAAGATGTGCTGTGATGCTCGTTGCATTGCGTGATGTCTATGACCGCCGGTAACCACTTCATGTGAGGTGGGCCGTAAATTCCACTACCTAAGTAATGTTTAATATTTTGAGCCAAAATTAAGAAGAAGAAGAAGAATGTTAATATATTAAATTTCGCTGCATTAAAGACAGTTTCTTTTTGTATTGCTTAATTGTGTGCGGTTTTTATTCCCTTTGCCTATCGAATGGACAAAAATAACGAATAAAAAATTTAAAAATTCTCAATTTACGTTTGATTTTTGCGTTGTGCTTATTTAATTAATCATTTTGTTTAAATCGATGAACTGAACTTTATTTAGTAAAATATATGTATATTTCTGTATGTATGCTGCATGTACACATTTATGTAACAATAAAATCATAAACAATTCTCAGTACAATAAAATAAAATTATGGAGAAATGTGATAATGATTTAATAGACACACAAATTTTACCGGAACATGTGGAATTCTTAGATAATTGTTTCGACAATTCCTTTGCTTTACAAAGTTCGCTTGTTGTTGTCAAAGAATATCTAGAGAAAAGCGAAAATAAACAGAAGCATGTCAATCGGAGATTTGTAAACACGGCTAGTAATAACAGTTTACTAAATAAAACTGCTGAAGGGAAATTAACTGCTTCGAAAGAAGTACGAAACATTCAAAAATTACAAAGCAAAAAATTGAAAGACTGGGGCCTACCAATTGAAATCTCAAAAAAGTATGAGGAAAGGGGTATAACAGAAATGTTTGACTGGCAGCTTGCTTGTCTAGGTAATCCGAAAGTACTTTTTGATTGTGCTAATTTAGTCTATTCAGCTCCCACATCTGCTGGAAAGACACTTGTTGCTGAAATACTTACCATTAAGACAGTATTAGAGCGTCAAAAGAAGGTAATCATCATATTACCATTTGTTTCAATTGTGAGGGAAAAGATGTTTTATTTGCAGAATATTTTATCTAGTTCGGGTATTCGGGTTGAAGGTTTCATGGGTTCTCAATCTCCGGCTGGTGGTATGCAAAATGTCCATGTTGCCATTTGTACCATAGAGAAGGCAAACAGTATGATTAACCGTCTTCTTGACAATGGTAATATTGAAGATCTGGGTGCTGTGGTTGTTGATGAATTACACTTACTAGGTGACCAAAATAGAGGCTACATTCTAGAACTGTTGCTAACAAAAATAAAGTATGTAACATCCAAGTCAGACTTACTTATACAAGTTATTGGCATGTCAGCTACATTACCCAATCTAGAAACGTTAGCAACTTGGTTGAATGCAGAGCTTTTCATAACTACATTTAGACCTATACCATTAGAAGAGTATTGTCTTGTGGAAAATAAATATTATGATAAAAACGGAAAATATATTTTAGAGGCAAAACCATCCAACTATGGAGTGTCTTGTAATGATAGTGTATTGAAAATTTGCTTAGAAACTATAAAAGAGGGATGTTCAGTTTTGATATTTTGTATGACAAAGAATAGATGTGAGAGCCTAGCACAGTTATTGTCATCTACTTTTTGTAAAATAGGCTGTGAGGGCAGTGAATTTGGGATGATTTTAAGGAGCCAGTTAAATTCTGAACACATATTGGAAGCTCTGGAACAATTAAAAAACTCTCCTGTTGGGTTAGATCAAGTATTGCAAAAGACCATATCATTTGGTGTTGGTTATCACCATGCAGGGTTGACACTCGATGAAAGAGACATTATTGAAGGGGCCTTCAAATCTGGGGCGATAAGAGTTCTAGTAGCAACCTCAACACTGAGCTCAGGTGTAAATTTGCCTGCTAGAAAAGTCATAATTAGGTCTCCTGTGTTTCAAAAGCAACCCATTAACATATTGTCTTACAAGCAAATGAGTGGTAGGGCAGGAAGAATGGGTAGAGATACTAAAGGTGAGAGCATACTAATTTGTTCTGAGGCAGAGAAGAAAATAGGTTTTAATTTAATGATGGGTGATCTGGACCCGGTTAAGAGTTGCATAGAAACAAAGGAAAAATATATGAGATCAATACTTGAAATCATTGCTAGCAATATTTCATGCTCGAAACAAGAACTCTTATTATACACTGATTGCACACTTCTTTCTGCTCAAAAAGAAACCTTATCACAAAATTTGATACTAGAGGACACTTTAAAAGAATTAGAAAATTATGAACTAATTAGAATTCAAAATAATCATAGTGAAAATCACTATGTTGCGACTGCTTTAGGTAAAGCTTGCTTGTCATCTTCAATGGCTCCAAATGATGGATTGACATTATTTTGTGAGTTACAAAAAGCTCGTCAATGTTTGGTATTGGAAACAGATTTACATTTAATATATTTAGTAACACCATACAGCGTGAGCTCTCAGTGGGGTAATATAGATTGGCTGCATTTATTAAATCTGTGGGAATCTCTAACAAAAGCTATGAAAAAAGTTGGTGAATTGGTAGGAGTACAAGAGAGTTTCATTATCAAATGTTTGAGAGGGCTAAATATGAAGCACCTAGATTCAAACAAATTGAATATTCATAAGAGGTGAGTACAACCATATTTTTTTAATTATGTACTAATTGCTTCAGTAAAAAAAATCCTAAATTAATTTATTAATTAATACTTAATATGATAATTTTAATAAAAGTGATATAAAAAAATTAGATTTTACACAGCTCTAGCTTTGCAAGATTTGGTAAATGAAGTGCATCTCTCTGAAGTAGCAAATAAATTTCAATGTGCTCGAGGTTTTTTACAAGGCTTACAGCAAGCATCAGGTACATTTGCAGGTAAAATATTCCAGTGATTTATGAAATATTACATTATAAGACTGGTAATTATTTATTACGTAATAGTAGTTAATATATTTTTAATTTTCTTAGGCATGGTGACAGCTTTTTGTAAACAGTTGGGATGGAAAAGTATGGAAATCCTTATTTCTCAATTTCAAGACCGATTACATTTCGGAATCCAATCTGAATTGTTAGAATTAATGAAATTATCATCTTTAAATGGTATGAGAGCTAGAACTCTCTTTGATGCAGGTTTTGAGACAATATCTAGCATAGCTATAGCTGATACAGATGCTATAGAAAATGTACTTTTAAAATCAGTGCCATTCGAAAGTGCCAAAGAAAGAGAAAACGATGAAAAAGGCGACATAAAGAAGAGAACCAAAATAAAAAATATATGGATCACTGGTTGTTGTGGTATGACTATGAGTGAGGCAGCTAAAAATTTAATTAATGAAGCCAGAAAGTGCCTTGAACAAGAAATAGGGGTAAATGAAATAAAGTGGGCCGTTAAAAATGAATATTCTGGAAATTTTGAACCCAAAAGGACATTAGGATCAGTACCTAATGATAATAAGAATACATGTGATGATAAAAGTCAAAATAACTTAAATGAACAATTTGAGCAAATTAAAGAGAACAGAAATAATTTTAATTATCAATCCCACCAGTCAATACTTTCTGTTGTAACACATAAATCCACTTTAAAAACTGAAACAGATGCTATTATAGTAAAAAAAGTAGTCACCCAATCGTTTGAAGATAATGATTGTGCAGATCAATATGTAAACAATAACAACGATTTGACTGTGTCTGTATCTAGTGCAAATGATACAATAAATCAGAAAAGTACATTAATCACAAGTAGTGGTGACATTGTCTGGGATTCTCTTAATTTGACAGAAACAGCTTTAGGGAATATAGCAAGGCTTCAGACTCCTTACAAAATACCCAAATCATGTTTAAGCGATGAAGATTTGGCAGCCACTGCAATCAATAACATCAAGAACTCTGTGATATCAAGAAATACCTCAGAGAAGGACATAAGTTTATTTTCGTCTGATGGTGACAATTCAAGTTTATTTGAAGACAGTTTACCTTTGGATTTGATTCCAAGCAAACTACTCCAAGATGTTGAAACTCCGAATAAGAGAGAGCAGTTAGAAGATTTTTACAAAATTAAGTCTAGTAATGGTCTAGAAGAATTGACTGAATCAGATGAAGTTGAAGAAATGAAATTAGTGTATGAGGAAGACCAAGTTGATAAAACCAATGAAGTCAAGAATTCAAAAAAAGACAAACCTTTACAACACTTCAAAAGTCCCATTAAGAGATGTTGTGAAACTGATAGCATACAGACTGTGATAAAGCAGATCAAAGTTGATGTAAAAACAAATATTAATAATTGCCGTAAAGATTGGCCAAAATTACTTGACACCCCCAAACTAGAAAAGTTTTCTATAAAAATTTCCACAAACACCTTGAATTGTTTAATATTAAGGGTCTATGACATGTTGAATAATTTTGCTATTTTGGAGAACCTAGAGGAAGCTTCAGTTTATTTTAATTTTGAAAAATGCAAAAGTGCCAATGAAATTATAGGACGTAGAGTGTTTAATGAATTGAATATAACACAAAAGGGTAATATGTGTACAATAAAGGGAATAGCTTTTTGTTTTAGGAAAACAGAATGCTTTTATTTAGATCTCGTCTCTCTCGATAACAAATTAGATATAATAAAAGATAAAATGAAATTGTGGTTTCAAAAAACTAGTTTAAAATTGAAGATGTTGAATTTAAAAACAATTAATTTAAATCTAAAGAAGTGGCTCGGTGTTGACTTAAATTCTATGTGTGTGGATGTTTCTCTGATGGAGTGGCTAAAGCATAGTGACGAAAGAATACCCGATGTATCTTATTTGGTTCGTATTGTTACTGTTTTGTGAAAATAGTCATTTTCTGATTTTACCTCAGTGAATTTTACATTCGTTGTTTTCAGATGAAAAAGTATTCCGGAATGGACTTAGCACAGCTAACTATAAAAGTGAACAATCGTCAAACGAAACTAAAGAACTTGACGTTGGCTCAAGAGTCTTGTGTGAAGGCGTGGGCTATAGAAATGATATCCGAAAAACAACAGAATGCGTTGTATGAAAGCTATCAAAACGCTATAAGTAAGTTAAAAGAAACAAAAATGCAAATTTTTTTTAATTCTGAGTTTTTTTTATATGCCGTATCCTCCGTGTATATGTACCATCATTCAGTTTACTTCTGCCGCGCGACTGTTATGTTATTGGGATTCATTTTAAAACAATTTATACCTACTTCGAACTCATTTTTCAAATTATTTATAAGCGTTATTAGCGTTATGATATTTATGGGTTCCGGCAACTGCTACTACACTTATCTACCCTAAAATATACATAAAAACAGGCGATGAATATTTTGTATACATGTACATAAGCGCATACATTACGAGTGCAATAATTTAGGATTATAATCTATTAGGTTTTCGAAAAAAATCCGCCCGTATGTTGTCTTCGTGTATTAACGGATGATGTAGACGAGATGAGACGAAATGAAAATGAGGTTGGTAAGAGAGTGTTAACTATGAATGTGGAAGGATATAGAGGAAGAGGTAGACCTAAGAAGAAATGGATGGATTGCGTGAAAGACGATATGGGTAAGAGGGGAGTGAGCGAAGAAATGGTATATGATAGCTGAGTATGGAAGGAGAAAACATGTTGCGCCGACCCCAGGTGACTGGGAGAAAGGCAGGATAATAATGATGATGATGTGACAGTTTTCACGAATGTCAATTAGTCTAAGCGTCGCTTAACAACAATAAAAACCCCCAAACATTATTAGTTTGCGTAGTCAATTAGACTCGATCGTACTATCATATGGTCATAGATGATTATTATTATCGCCCTAGACACGTCATTACGGATCCTTCCGATCCATTCGCGGTGCTTTTAGGCACCTCAAGCACCGGTCACCGTCCTTGCCGAACCCATCGCTTGCGATGAAGGGCTCGACGGGTAAATTAACCCATAGACACAGCCCACTGAGTTTTTCGCCGGATCTTCTCAGTGGGTCGCGTTTCCAATCCGGTGGTAGATTCTGCGAAGCTCTTCTGCTCTTGCTAGGGCCAGTGTTAGCAACATTACCGGTTTGAGCCCCGTGAGATCTCTAATCACTTACACGTCAATGAGAAGCTGAAATAGCTTCTCAAGGCTATCAGCATAGGTAGGAATTTTTTTTATCTCGCGGTGGACGAATGTTATGTTAGTACATATATTGAAGAGCAAAGTTATTATAAAACGATAAATTATAAATTGTTATACTGACAGATGTAGAAATCAAGGTTTTGAAGATTTTATCGAACTGTGAACTTCATGGAATAGTGGTGGACAAAGAGCTGGTCTCGAGGCTGTTGACCGACGTGCGCGACTCTCAGGATGTCTTGCAGAAGAAAGCCTTCAAGATTTGCGGATATCATTTCAATTTCAACTCATCAAAAGACGTTGCTAAGGTGCATATTTCTTTAGCTTCATTTTTTAAACAGATATTTTATTCCTTTGAATTAAAATAAATAAAATCTCTTAGTAGGTAACTGCTCGGGCCTGGTTTCATTATTGTATTTCAGATATGTACTGATTCTATAATAAATTAATATAATATTATATTCTAGCTATGTATGAGGTTTCATTAAATGCCCTTTTTTGCATTTGTCCCTTTTCATGCAGTCATGCGTTCCAGTTTGAAGGGTGGGGGCAGCCGTTGTACTGTAAAACTGACACTTTTGGTGGTGGCATTTACACTGTAATGTAAAATGCATAATTGGTTGGAACCCATAACATAACATAAACCCGATTGGTATTAATTAATGTTTACTCCAGTAAACATTTAATACCAACTGGGCCGTGAGTTTGTTCACCCAACTAGTTTGAAACTTGAACTTGAAACGAAACATCCAAGGGGTCGGATCATTGATATATGATAGGTCACGTAAATTAATATTTTATATCCTTCTATAATTCAAATTCACCAGTAGTGTTATTGGATAAATCAATGACCTTTAAAACTAGGTACTTGACAACTGAACATCAGTGAATCGATTGAATTGAATTTTTTTATTATGTATCATCTTTGTACTCTAAAATATAGTAGTTTTCAGTATGTATTCAATAATCATCAAACAATCATCAAAAACACACCCACCCGCGCACGCATACACATACGCCCGCGCGCACACACATACTCACCCATTCCCATACACGCACACGCACGCACACGCATACGCACACGCACGCACGCACATGCACGCACACGCACACGCACACGCACGCACGCACGCACACGCACGCACGCAGACACACACACACACACACACGGGTATTGACTTTTATAAATACATAATTGTATTAACATTTTAGGTGTTAGGTATATATAACGGTCGTAAAACAAGCACAAGGAAAAGCGTTTTATCATCTCACAATACTCCAATATCTAGTATCGTGATGTACTGGAGAAAGTTGAATGCTATATTAACGAAAATTTTGTACCCGCTCACTGAAAAGGCGTGTATATACAGTGAAGGCGATCGGTAAGTTGTTCATATTAAACTTAATTCATAGTAATATTATCAAAACAAATATATAAACAGAAGTTTTAAACAAAATATGCTATGGATACGGCTTAAACTCTTAAAGGGTATATATAGATTATCCTTCACCTCACTGCTCAGCACGCGAACAAATTGTATTCAACGTCGGCGAATTTACGAGCTCAAAGCTAGTCAAAAATAAAATACCGGAAACACAAGGCAAGATCAAGCCCATAAAGAAATTAACTTCAACAGGGAATATTGACTACGGTCAGCGCCTTTTTTTTTTTTTTCCTACCTAANGACTCGATATCGGAACGAACGGTTCGACAAGTAGTCTCGTATGATGAGCACGAGTCTGTCTGGCACTCCCATGTTATACAGTTTGTATATCAAACCGTTGTGCCAGACTTTGTCGAACGCCTTCGCTATATCGAAGAAGAGGGCTCCTGTCGGAATGGGTTTCCGCCTGTTCAGCCCTAGTAAGATGTGCTCCGTGAGGGGTCAGCGCCAATAAAGTGGGTTTTATTGTATAAAGTTTTATTTTATATAAATATATTTTATTAATTGACACTCATTCTTGATCCTGCGGACCGAATGGTAAACAGCCGACTTCGCTTCGGATCCTCTCGATCCACTAACGGTGCTCTTAGGTATCTCAAGCACCGGTCATAGTTCTCGTCGAACCCGTCGCTTGTGACGGAGGGCTTGGCGAGTAAATTAACCCACAGGCACCCCACTCAGTTTTTGCCGGATCTTCTCAGTGGGTCGCGTTACCGATCCGGTGGTAGATTCTGCGAAGCACTGCTCTTACTAGGGTTCGTGTTAGCAACGACGTCAGATTTGAGCCCCGTGAGCCGTGAGCCCATGCACCAGCCCGCTGAGTTTCTCGCCGGATCTTCTCAGCGGGTCGCGATTCCAATCCGGTAGTAGATTCATTCGCGAAGCAGTTGCTCTTGAGTTGTTAGGTTTCCTTCGGAGGCGCTCGGGCAGCTGTTAGCAAATCCCACCACTCCTGGCTGATCAGTTGGTCGCCCACCTGTCCTGGTGAAACTGGAAAGGCTCCGGGCCACCAGTAATCCTTCAATCATATGAAAAAACCTTATTGGAGTTTCCCCTTGGCTTCCACAAGGCATTGAATGTTATAAATTACTTTAGGCATGTAACCACATTTGGACAAAACTATTTCCTGATGCATTAAAGGCTCCATAAATATATATAGAGCAATATAGTATAGTTGTTGCAAAGCACGACTGCGCGCCACCGAATATTATTTTTGTTTCCAATCTCGATAACGTAATTGGGAACAAGTGAAGCTTGTTATTAGTAACGTGGCACATTTCATTGTTAAAAACTTTTAATGATGTGTTATAAAAGGACTACGTGTTCTTCGGGATTATCTGCTTTTAAATTTTGGGTCACGTTATTTTACAGTTATTTCATGACATGTTTTAAATTGATTACACAATCAAGCAATTTATGACTTTTAAATTTTGAATTTAATATATATAGGAGTCCAAAATCAAACCTAGATATCTAATTTAGATACCTAGAAACCTGTTTGATTTTGATCATCTGTAAAAGTTCACTAATGTGGGAAAATGCAAAAAAAGCAGCTCGCCGTGGCTCCTCGGGTTCTTCCAAAAAGTTCACTGAATTAAAGTTCTCCGTCATTAACTACCATTTTACTGAGACTTTATAGTGATATCATCTTATATTCTCTGGTTTCATTTAATTTCACCCCAATTGACTTAGTCTCAAATTAATCAACTTAATCTCATTTTGCTTCATGTAATTTTGCCATTTGCCATTACTATTTATTAATTGAAGATTTTTATAACATTGTGTTTTGCCACTAGATAGTTTCGAAATCTTAGTTAACTATAGGCAGCATTTTGGTTCAGGTCTTGGCATTGTGGGTGACGGTAACCACTCACCATCAGGTGGGCCGTATGCTCGTCTGTCTACAAGGGCAATAAAAAAAAACACCGCTAAAGAGATGGGAAAAGCTGAGAAACTCGCTCGGACCAAACCTAAATAGCCTTTTGTTGTCCTCAGGATAATGTCGTCGTATTCAACATTCACTTGTACGGGTAGGATCACGATGCACGAACCGAATCTACAGAACGTTCCTCGCACGTTTTCCATTCCACTACGTTACCTAACCTTTGACAACACCACAAATGACGAAGTCATAGAATTCAACTGCAGGAACGTATTCAGAGCCGCTCCGGGCTCGGTTATGGTGTCTGCGGACTACTGTCAGCTGGAGATGAGGCTTTTGACGCATTTCAGCGAGGACAGTGTCCTGACTAGAATCATGAAGTCCGATGTTGACGTGTTTAAGTCTATAGCGGCTTCTTGGAGCGACGTACCCGAAGGAGAGGTAATTTTAAAAATCGCCTACCCACATAAAAAATAAATTGATTTTTTTTGTGTAATTCCCAATTTGAGGAGTGTTGAAGAATATACGAAGTGACAGCATTGACATTGTCATTTATAAGAGTTAGGTCTAGAAATCATTGACCATCACATTGAAAAAAATGACCTTGGACTTTTCAGCTTTTTATTTGTAAGATTGGATTTGTCAGGGAAAAGGAATATAAAATGCAACTAGCGCACCCGACAAACGTTGCGTATACACGTTTTAAATCTGAAAATAATAAACACTTTTAATCATTTGTAACAATATGGACTGTTTTAATGATTGTTTTATTTAATTTTTTTAAATTCTAATACCAATTGTGTATCGAAATTATTCTCGAATTTACTGGAAAATAACTTTTTTTTTAATCAAAATCGGTCCCAGACCTTTAAGAAGAGTTCACTGACATACACACTGACAGTATAATTAAATACATTAAGATAGTATAGTAAATGTTATCAGATCTATCCTATTTCTATGTTATTAAATGTTCCTTAAATAACTTTTAGGTAGACGACGATCTTCGCCAAAAGGCCAAACAACTTTGCTACGGCATTATATACGGAATGGGAAATAAGACCTTATCCCAACATTTAGACGTCTCGGAAATGGAGGCGTCATTATTTATGGATTCGTTCGAGAGAACCTATCCAGCCATCAGAGTGTTCACTAAATCTGTAATCGAGGAGTGTAAGAGGCAGGGCTTCGTCGAAACTTTGAGCGGCCGACGGAGATATCTTCCGGATATAACCAGTCATATTACATCTAGACGCAGTAAGTGTCCTCGACTCTTTGAAGTACGTCTCGGAGGAATATTAGTACTGTCGTCACGACAAAACTTTAGTATTTGGACCTCGAATTTTCGAAATTGTGTATTTTTTGTTTTGAATATGTCATTGATTGGATGAACGGGCCTTGGGCCCACGGTTAAGGGTTGACCGAAGTTAATCTATTTTGAGAAATGACTGTCCTTAACCTTTAAACCAGAACAAATCTGCGGCAGCAATAGGCAGGATTATTGTTCCTATACGTGCGAGCTTTCAAATACCTCTTAGTTATTTTTTTGTTTTGGCTTAAATAGGTCGACGAGCTCACAGCCCACCTAATGTTAAGTGGTTAACGAACGTAATTCCCGCAAACCACCTTGAGACATGAGTTCTTAATCTCAGTTCCAGAGTAAGACTGCTGCACCCTTCAAACCGAAATGTATTACTGTCTCTCGGCAGAAATAGGCGGGTCGGTGGTACCTACCCGCGTGGGCTCACAATAATACATAATTATGCAGAAGACACATACTAAATAAAATTCGTATTGTGTAATAAAATATTAGTACATAGCGGTAGCATTTAGCGGTAGGCAGCGGCTTGACTCTGCTCCTGGCATTGCTGAAGTCCATGGGCGACGGTAACCACTTACCATCAGGTGGGCCGTACGCTCGTCTGCCTACAAAGGCAATAAAAATAATAATAATAATAATAAAAGTTATATAGTGAATACTTTTAAAGTATCGAATTTGAATAGCTCTTTTCAATTCGTAACAATGTCGGTACTTTATGTAATTGTACTCGTAAATCATGAACGTTCTTCCGTGGCTTAATAAGCATGACGTCTTGTGTAGGCACTCGTCATGTTACTATGCCTAAGAGAGTGAGGGGGTCCTAAAAAGACTTGGGAGAGACTGTGTGAAAAAAGAACTTGCATGAGAATGGTGTGAGTGTAGCAATGACGTATGATTGGTCTGAATGGAAAAAGAAGACATGCTGCGCTGATCCCACACAGTTGTATAAGGGCGAGAAGAATTGCCATCTACCAATAATCGTAATTTAGCCACGATCAGACCTTCAGATGTAGATAGATTTTATGACCCGCATACTCCATTTTGTTTTACATATAAGTAGTTTCTTGTAAAGATGGTAAAAAGCTGTTGGTACACTAGACTAGCGTTTACACGCGGCTTCAATCGCAATAATTTAGAAGCGAAATATATTATTATAATCCCTCGGAATAGTACTTTTTCTGGACGAAACAAAGTATGCTTTTCTGTATCGTAACGTTTATCATTTATGTACTGGTGGTAGGACCTCTTGTGAGTTCGTGCGGGTAAGTATCACAATCCTGCCTATTTCTGCCGTGAAGCAGTAATGCGTTTCGGTTTGAACAGTGGGGCCGTTGTAACTATACTGAGATCTTAGAACTTAAATCTAAAGGTGGGTGGCGCATTTACGTTGTGGATGTCTATGGGCTCCAGTGACCACTTAACACCAGGTGGGCTGTGAGCTCGTCTAACCATCTAAGCAATAAAAAAATAAAAAAGTGCTTTTGTTGATCTGCCGTCTCATGACCGAGACGTAGGCACACTACGTGTTCAGCACCTAGACCTGTACACATGACTATAAATGTGTTTAACAGATACCGCAGAACGTCAGGCTGTGAATACAATGATACAAGGTTCCGCTGCGGACATTGCGAAATCTGCAATGTGCTCCATCGAAGACGGAATAAATAGTTTCCATCCTAAACCACGCCTTATATTACAAATGCACGACGAGCTCATCTATGAGGTCCACGAAACAAACAAATCACGTTTTATATCTCTCATGAAAAGTGTTATGGAAGATACAGTCGAGCTGAAAGTTCCTTTGCCCGTCAAATTGAAGTGCGGCTACACGTGGGGCGCCCTTGACGAAGTCGCGCTCTGATGACTCGTTCCGCGATACAAAAATAAAACCTCCTTCTGTGATATAATATGTAGCTTTGTATTCTTTTTTCGAATAATAAAATAAATAATTTTTGAATTGATTCTGTTGTACTCATTTCTTTGTTTTTATGAAAGAACCTAAAATTTTCAGTGAATTTATTATTTACGTAAGTGCCGTGAGCTATCACGTGCGTTGACAGGCCGCGCGGTAAGTATAAGGTACATAAAGGGTGCATGAATTAACCGTGATGGAAATCGTACACGTGTAAGACTGTAAATTATAAGTTTGATTCGTTTAAAGATAATTCACATATAGCTTATTAAGATATTTCACTATTTACTATTGCAATGAAGTGTAATAACTAAGACGTTGTTTCAAATTAGGTTTAAAATTTTTGCGCAAAATTTACACTGTTAACGCAAACTCGGTTGAATCATAAAATAGTTTCATTAACTGGTCTTGGCTCGGCGCGGCGTACTGCTGTGAGAACATTTGCAACGCTGATCACCTAATTTTCAGGAAATCTATTTATAGAACTGTATCGTGAGAACAAGGCGTCTTAAGATTATCTCTTAATAGAGAGGTATGGATTTTCGATTTTCCTTTTCATTTAAATATAATTGTATTATATAAATCTAATTAAATCGTATATAATAACAAAAACGGATAGTTTAGTATTAAGACAGCGACGTGATTTTTTTTAAATTTTCAGCGCCATTTTTGTTTGTAGTCGAAGGGGTTTCCCACCTTTTCTTTGCGTGAGTGTAGGCTCGCTAGAGGTCGCGGGGTGTGCGCGGCGCTCCTTGCGCGCAATCAATACCCTGCGCAACCCGCGTCGTGCCTGAAGGCTCGCCTGTCACCCTCCGTAACGTCAGCAGAGCGCCTGACGCTCGAACCTCGCGCTCAACGTTATCATAAAACAGCCGTATTCGATAAAGAAATGTCCACTCTGAATACGGACATCGAATCTTTTCAATAGCGTCACTAACGCTTGCGGCCGCGGAGTGATTTGACGATGTCCGCACTCTGATATTTACATGTTAAATTACGAAGATGCATCTTCACTTCGAGAGAAACGTGAATGCGAAATGTGACTGCACCATATTGTCGCTGTCGTGGATGGGCAAGGTGCCCGACGAACTTCCCGAGGTAAGACAGATACATAAATCGTTTTCACTGAACTAGTGTTGGCAAAAAAGATTCACGGTCGCCGCAGTACTGCATTTTCAAGTCTTATGTTTATATTTAGAATTTCTGCGTACAGTACTTACCGTGCCTACTCTAATATTAGCGTTCCTAAATCACGTAAGGTAAGTACATACATTGCACGAAAACTCGAATATTTGCTTTAATTATGTTATTAAATCGACATGCTACTTAAGTAAACCTCTGACTGTTGCATAATGCTACCTATGTGCCGCGTTAGCTAATTCGGATTTGAAATACTTGTGTAGTACAAATACATTTACATTTTTACTCGTTTCATTAAAGTTGAAAGAGCGAGAATTTATACCTGAGCGTTTAAGATTGACGTCACATTGAATTCACTACGTCAAGTTAGAAAATAAAAAAAGTGTTTTTTTTATTTTTTATTGCTTAGATGGGTGGACGAGCTCACAGCCCACCTGGTGTTAAGTGGTTACTGGAGCCCATAGACATCCACAACGTAAATACGCCACCCACCTTGAGATACAAGTTCTAAGGTCTCAAGTATAGGTACAAGTATAGTGTGAAACTAATATGATGACCCAGTAATACAGTAAGAACAGTACATAATTAATATGTATCAAATTATGTCGTTCAGGTATAGAGAAAAGTAATTTACAGAACTCAAAAATAAATTAGCGTTGTATACCTAATATTTAATGCCGACGGATTCGGAAGCGTATTATTTTGTCATGAATATCGAAAACTTTATAAGTATGTCACATTTGATTTAATAAATATTACATTTTTAATATTAAGCACCAAATTCAATACTGAAATCTTTAAAGTTAAAACATTTTGTAAGGCTTAAGTATGTAGGTTCACCTAGATGAATACCAGCCTATCTCTTCTTGTTGGTGTCGTATAGGCGACTAAAGGATTCATCTAAATATGGGCAGAAATTCCTAATGCACCATATTGTGATGGTTTCCTGCATTTACTGTTATTAGGGCGTAATCTAAGCCAATACGAATGAGCCACTGGATGATTACCAGAGTGATACTTGGAACTACCGCGATATAATTAAAACTTTGTCTTAAGGTGTATGACGGTATTCACGTTGCATCTATGGGCATCTCTAGACACTCATACCCGATCCTGTAGACCGAATAATAAACAGTCGACGTCACCCAAAACACGTCATTACGGATCCTCCCGATCCATTAACGGTGCTTTTAGGTACCACAAGCACCGGTCACCGTCCTCGTCGAACCCGGCGCTTGCGACGAAGGGCTCGACGAGCAAATTAACCCATAGACACAGCCCACTGAGTTTCTCGCCGGACCTTCTCAGTGGGTCGCGTTTCCGATCCGGTGGTAGATTTTGCGAAGCACTGCTCTTGCTAGGGCCAGTGTTAGCATCACTCCGGTTTGAGCCCCGTGAGCTCACCTACTAGTTAAGGTTACGCTGAAATAGCCTCTCAAAGCTATCAGCATATTTCGCAAAAAAAATACATTTTTTCGTCTCTAGACGCCTGAATGCGCGTTTATTTCTGTTCTAATCATCAGTATCCTGTTAATATAATACAGACATAACAATCCATTAACATATTGTAACGAAAACGCTAATTCTGTTAAGTTCTAAAAAGTATTTTTTCATAATTAGGCAGAACGAACGAGCTCATTTACAATACGTACTTGGTGTTAAATGGTTACCGGAGGTCATTAACCCACCAGTTAGGTGAAACGAGAATAAGTCCTTGAAACTCCTCGTGGTAAGACGGGAAAAGGAGGCCATAGATAGATCAAAGCGTAAAGCCACAAACCTTGTGGCATGAGTCGAAGTCTCAATTGTATAACAAACCGAAATGCATAGATGCTTGATACATTTTCATTTTAAGAATATAGCCTTTCCGCATTTTGTTGTGACTCACACAAGTCACACATCACTGACAATTCATTTGTTAAAACAAATCGTGCTGTTTCTATTGTGTATTGACGGCACGCCAAAAACCTCTATTAAAGTGCAAAGTAAACATATTGTTATTTTTCAACTTCGACATTTTTTGGTAGTACCCTGATTACTCATAAAATAGAGTATTTAAATAATGTGTAATCAAAACATTAAAGACAAAAAGTACAATCTAAGGAAAGAAATCAACCGCAGTGCACATACCGATTGAAAAAGAAAAATATAAAAATAATATAATGATGCTATTTTAAACATAAAAATAAGTGAAATATTTAAACATAAAATACATAATATGATCAATGCATCAATGCATTGTACAAAAGCCACACTAATCAGATTACTTACCATAATACAAATTAAATAAATAATTGATAACTAGTCAGTACAAAAACTAATTAAACACATCAAAATGGGAGACAACTCATATACGGTAAGACCATAAACTAGGATAAGTCTATGCTTACCATTTACTTTAAAATACATACAAATAAATACAGGTAACCCTGCTTTAACACGATAGACACGTTCCTACAAAGTCCCGCGTTGTGCGAAAACGTGTTATGAGACTAGAAGACAGTACATACAAAAAAGAGAGTAATTTTTCCGAAGGAAACATTTCAACTATGCCTGTATATATTTTTTTACCTAATACCTATACATAAAAAATAAGCTGGAAAATTTCGGTTATTCCCATATATTTTGTATTCATAGAGCATACTGGTGGTAGGACCTCTTGTGAGTCCGCGCCGTTGGGTACCACCACCCTGCGTATTTCTGCTGTGAAGCAGTAATGCGTTTCGGTTTGAAGGGTGGGGCAGCCGTTGTAACTATACTTGAGACCTTAGAACTTATATCTCAAGGTGGGTGGCGCATTTGCGTGATGTCTATGGGCTCCAGTAACCACTTAACACCAGGTGGGCTGTGAGGTCGTCCATCCATCTAAGCAATAAAAAAAAAAGTAATTGTCTAAATAATTAAAAAAAAAAAATTCGTTATCGTGTTGTAGAAGTACCTACCGTGTTATAGGAGGGTTACCTGTATGGGTATTTGATTCCCAAAATTAAATAATTCTGTTCCTTGCATTAAAGGGGTCCCGAATTGGGAATCGAATGGCTATTTAATTCTCAACAGTCAGGAGTCGCTTCCTAACCGAGCGTTCAAAACGTAATAAATAACCCTTGCGGTAGCTTATCCTGTTCTCGAATGGAGGTTTCAATTTTAAACAGCTTCGATATGAAACAGCTCGCTTAAAGCAACGAAGTAACACCTCTTACGTCTGGTTTTTTGCTGGTGGTAGGAGGTCTTGTGAGTCCGCACGGGTAGGTACCATCACCCGGTCTATTTTTGCCGTGAAGCAGTAAAGCGTTTAGGTTTGAAGGGCGCAGCCGTTTTACTGTTAAAAGTGAGACCTTTCTCATATCTCAATATTGGTGGCGGCATTTACGTTGTAGATGTCTATGGCCTCCGATAGCCACTTAACACCAGGTGGGCCGTGAGCTCATCCAACTATCTAAGGCATTAAAAAAAAATCAAAGTATTAATGTTGGAATAGGTGCTTTCATATTTATCTAACGATGACAGTCTAATAACTAAACGAAGAAAGCGAAGTATTAGAAGCCGCGGTCCTATAGACACAGCCTACGAGTTTCTCGCCGAATCTTCTCAGTGGGTCGCGTTTCCGATCCAGTGGTGATTCTGCGAAGCACTGCTCTTGTTAGGACCAGTGTTGGCAACACTTCTGGTTTGAGCCCCGTAAGCTCATCTACACGTCAAGGCGAAGCTGAAATAGCCTCTCAAGGTTATCAGCATAGGTAGGAAAAAAAAAGAAGCCGCGGCTTGGCGCCATGGCGGTTCCCATGGCATGGCTTATGTGCATGAAAGACGATGACGTGATTGATGACAAGGGGTGTCTCTTGTTTACGTGCAATAAAAATCTACATAACGAAGTGTT